GGTGGTTGTTGGTTGGTTGGTTGGTGTTGGGATGGAGTTCTCACTGTCTTCGCCCAGGGCGTGGAGGTGCCAGTGGCACGGATTCTTGGACTCACTTGCATGCCTCTGCCCTTCGCCCGGTTCAGGTTGATTCTCTTTGCCTCCAGGCCTCTGGGTTGTAACCAGAAGAATAGAGAACAGGTCCTTGAAGGGGAAAGGTCTCATTTCAGGTGGGACTAGATGGCAGAGTGACAGTGGGAGGGTCCCCATACCTTCAGACATTCATTTTGAAATCTCACATCCCTCTGAGTTGTGAGAGCTGCTATGGAGGAGTTCTGCAGGCTGTTCCAGAGCTGAGGAACCCCAATTCTGTAAGACCAGTCTTAGAAAAAATGGAATCCACTTACTCTCTTTTAAAATGTACCACATGGGACCCACATGAGTGCAGAGCTCACCTGTTCCTGGTCATCAGAACTGGTACCCATCCTGCTGCTCCGTTTGTGCAGTTGCAGCCAAACATGGGGCCCTTCTCTCTAGGAATTTGTTAGGCATTTGTCCACAGCCATGGGTCAAAAAGCCCATGAAGACATTCTTGGTTTACAATAGTGGTCAGGGCCCTTGCTCACTGCTGCTGGTCCCAGGGCCAAGCCTTGTCCAGCCTAAAGTTCCTTCTCCTCTCCTCCCTGCCTGTTCAGGATCTACTCAGCTTCTCTGGGAAGATATCACTTCTTTCTCTGAACTTCTAGTCTCTTTTTTTTCTTGCCTTCCATTATTACTTAAACATTTGCTATCTTGGTTCCTAAGTAGATATGCCCCTCCTATCAGGCATTTCTTTTGAAATTCTCTGTATTACTCCATTTTCACACTGCTATAAAGAAATACCCTAGACTGGGTAATTTATAAGGAAAGAGTTCCTTATAAAAGAGTTCCTTATTTGACTATAAAAGAGTTCCTTATTTGACTATAAAAGAGTTCCTTATTTGACTCACAGTTCCACATGGCCTGGGAGGCCTCAGGATACTTACAATCATAGTGGAAGATGAAGGGGAAGCAAGCATCTTCTTCATAAGGCAGCAGGAGAGAGAAGAGCAAAGGAGAAACTTCCAAACACTTAAAAAGCCAACAGATCTCACGAGAACTCACTAGCTCTGATGATAGCAGCATGGGGGAAACTGGCCCCATGATCCAATCACCTCCCTCCCTTGACATGTGGGGATAACAATTCGAAATGAGATGTGGATGGGGCACAAGCCAAACCGTATCACTCCCCCGAACACTTGTTTGGTTCCAAAGTCCAGTATAATGAAGAAGCATTTAAACCTGCAATCTCTGCATGTGCTCCCACTAGAACCCACCAATGTACGCATCAGTCTCCTGAACCATTCACTTCTTTTCCTCTTTGCTGATATTTGTATTCTGTCAGACAATTTAGGTACAATTTGTGTTTGACATGATGAAATGCACATGCCTTTACATGGCATGCGCTCTTCCCCGTCCAGTTAAAATGGATTCTTCAGCCAACTCTCTAAGGCTCTGCACCTTTGCTGGGAGAACATACCACTCAACCTAGTTCTCCATTCATCATCTCTGGAAGCCTTCATGGACTCCCCATTCAGAGCTGAGCTCTCCTACCTCTGTGTTCCCTCACCACTGTGTTCCTCCTTCACGGTGCAGTCATCACGGTGGCAGTTTCTGTTGTGAAACCACAGGAAACTAGAAAACAGAGGTCAAGTCTCTGTGTTTATGTGTGACCAGCACAGTGCCTAATGAAGGCAAATGTTTATCAGCTGAATGAGTCAATCAATAATTGATTGATTCTTAGATGACTAAAATCATCTAATTCCCCAATTGACAAAGGCAAGCAAAGATCTTGAGCTGGGCTAAAAACCAGAGTTTAACACGAGAGTTTGTTAAAATGCTTACTCCCAATTACGATGCTTCAGCCCTAAGATTCAGATTCAGTAGGACCAAGGCAAGGCCTGGCAAACTGCATTTTTAAAAGCCTCCTGGTTGAGCCTAATTTATCAGCTCAGGAGACCTGCTGATGACTTGGGGATTCTTCTTTGGGAAAGTCTGTGCTTTTGCCTTTCTCCCAGGGC